TTCCAGTAATTATTATATTTCAACACATTGTGTTGGATGTTTGCATTTTCAGTAACGCTGAAACATTGCCATGGCTGAGAGCTGTCCAACCTTTTGTTGGGGCACTTGACTGCTGGCTGATTACCTGGGGATGAGTGTTTCACCTTCACGGTAGCCATTGAAAAGAGAGAAGGCTGGACATAGAGCGTCCTAATAGCCCTAAACCTCAAGGCCTATCACAGCTGGTCGACTCAGAAATCCAACTTCTAGTTTTAACAGGTTGTCAATTGCCGAGTAGAGTATATACAAGAGGAATTATGTGCTACCGAGGCCCATTTAGCATTCAATAAATACTAGAATTATCAAAAATTCAGCAATGAAATAGGATCTGCATTGCATCCTTTGGAGGCTACAGCATGATTATATAATGCCTCTGTTTTAACGGCTTCATCGGCTGTAATTTTTAGTCAGTGATTACAAACAAAGTGGGTAAAATCAGCTTCTCTTTCTACAGTAAGTAGCTACTTATGTAACCACTTGTTCCATTATACTCTAGTTAGCTGGACAAACTAAAATCTAGCAAGTCTAAAAACATCTTAGTTACTGAGAAAAATTAAAAACAAAATTCTTTAAAATCTGTGTTTTGCTCTCATCACAGCACCACATACTGTTGAGCATGTAGCAGCATGTAATGGACATTGTTTGAAAAGTTGGACATTTTAGACCAAAAATAATGACAAATTAAATGAAACTGAGAAACATATGTTCACTTAAATTGTACATCATATTGTAAATATGTAGTCAAGTGTCTAACTATTCGTTTTTCTTTTATAGCCTCATTTCCACCAATAAGCTCAGGTGTAAATAGCAGGTTGACACTGGAGGTTATCATTGTTATTAGCAGCTTTAGCAGCTAACTGCTTCAGACAAAATGTAGTCCTTAACAGCTCAGTGCACAACAACAGCTTTCTTGAGACCAGAAAAATAGTCAACACTGCCTTCTATCACAGAAGGAAGCTACTCTGAAACTCCGAAACTACTCTGCAGTGTCAACATGTTGCGAATAATGAAAACAGATTCCTGGGTGGATAATGATGACATTTCCATATCTATTTAACATTTAAGTAGTAATTTACAGGTATTCACGCATCACATTGTTCCGATGGTTTATTACTGTGTGTGTATGTAGCTTGTGAAAGTGCATTATTGTGAGGGGCTATGCAGATATTTTGTGCTGTGAGCTTTGGGTGCTCTAATTGTATGAACTTTCGTACGATCCCTTGCACCATGCACACACATGCCTTCTTGCTAAATAGATACTAGGTATAGTAGATAAAACAGGATACTTCTATGTATGTGT